TGGGACTGATGTGAGGGGTAAGGGATGGCTACGTTTCTGGGATTTAAATGAGATGGTAAACTGAACAGAGAGTAAATTAAAATGAAGTCATTCAGGATTGTTTGATGCAGTCATTGAGGGATCGTTCTTGATTTACAACTCTATCTTTCATTGTGGTTCTAAGGGTTTGAATGATAAAAAAGAGACAAGGTTATTCATCAATTGTCTAAGAAATAAAGCACTTAATATTCAGAAATTATGAGATGCATTATGGCATTTATATGATTTTATGATATTTCTTATCTAGATACCAACCTCCCTGCAAACTGGGCATTTTGATTCCGGTCTTGCAGCCTTGAGCCCTTGGAAGATCATAACCGAAGCTGCAGAGCAAGCACATTGTTTGCAGAAGATGTGCCCACATCCCAAAGCATATGGTTTAAAAACCGTATCCTAAATATATGATCATAGCAAAAAGTTAAATCAACCAAATAGATTTTAAAAGTCAACTTAAAAGTCAAAATATATGCATTGTTCTCTTTAGAATTCTAATTAGATGAGCGACCTTACCAAGCAAATGGCACATGTCAGATTGTATTCTAATTTCACAGAATCTGGTAGCATCAAAGTTATTACGGGCTCTGTAGCACTAAGATCACAGGAGAATGGTCCACCGATATCCAGCATCTTACCACTTGATTTGTTGAAGTTAATATAGAAAGCCCCGAGTTCAATCAACCATGGAGATCGCAGAGGCTCAATGTGTTCAGCACGCATTTTAGTTTTGAAAATCCTTCCATTGACAGAGCAATGTACCTATTGGAAGTCACAGGAGAGAAAAAATATAAAGAAAGACGTAAATGAAATCCAGTCCTCACAAAATAAGAAATTGGATAGTCGAGAGAGCTTCTTCAAATGGATACTGTTTACCTTATCGTACTTCTTGAGGATTTTTCGTAGAGCAATAGCATTCATTGCAACATAATCAATTAACAGCTGACATTCTTGTGCCGTGGCTTGCTGATTGCTTGCGAAACATTGGCACAAACTTATGAAATATTTTTGCATTGGGTTTGGAGCGTGAAGATGGATAAAGTGCCGTACTCTTGATCTAAAGCATCCAGCTATATCAGAAGCCTCCTTCTTCAATTCAGAGAAGAACATCCGATCACACACTGCAAAATATTAAAAAGGGTCTGACCATGTTAGATCTTATCAAGAAATAAAATTAGAGGAAAAAGGCAACAAAAATTAACTCATCAAATCACACTAATACATTTGTCCCGTCTGTTCATATGCTTTTAATTTAGAATGAATACATGTATACATGGTTCAAAGTGTAGATACATTCCATTGAAACATCAGAAACATTTTCATTTTTGATATGTAAAAGAAATGCATAAAGAAATTGAAAATTATATGATGTTCAACAAGACCATTTTATTTCAGTGTTGCTTATAAAACAATAGTGTCATTGAAAGTTAGGTCATACAAACTTGTTTTCCTTTACATGTGATGAACCTAAATCACAATCTTATAGACAAAGAATTGGTTTATTGTTAAAGCTTCAAAACATTTTAGTCATTGGCAGAAAAGAGCAACGATTTTCCATTACAAGCATATATTAAACAGGCAATTGTAGAAGAAGACCGTTCATCGACAATCATAGAGATAAAGGTAGAACGTGACAATTCTGCCTTTAACATAAACTGTATCTGATACCAAGATATTCACCCACGATTTGGATAACATCACATTTCATCATGTCAGATAAATCGCAACAAATGTGCACATGGGATGGCTAAGCAAGTCAATTTCCAGATTACTGTTTCATTCTTTAGAAGCATACACCTTTTTTATTGATTGAGAAAAAAGACAATATCTAGATATGAACAAACTACAAATCCCTACACCTACTGCAATATATGTATAAAGAAAAAAGTAGTTAAAATTAAATCAAGTAGAAGCTTCTACAATAAAAGCAGAAATATTTTTAGACATGATTTTAAAAGGAGAATCACACTACATTATTTTGTTTAGTTGAGAGGTATTTGGGTATCGATATATTTGAAATTCATGAAACAACAAACTATTATATCTTTGCAATGTCAGAGAGTAGATTTGTTTGTTCATTTTTTTTAATATGTTTAGTACTAGACATAGTTAACCAATAGCCTTCAATTTTTCCTAATCCAAAATTATCCTTGTTATTCCTTATTTTCTCGGGGTCCTAAAGTTACTTTAAACAATTTTCCAAGTAATTCTTGTGATCAAAGAGTTATTGCATTAAAAAAAGGAGAGTTATTCAAGAGGTTGGTATTGAGAGAATTCTTCAAAAATGAGAATTTCTTGACTATCGTGTCGGCCTACTCTACTAGTAGACTGCTCAGATCAACAAATACTTCAAACTTACCCTCCATCGGCGTCCCTCCCAGCTCGTGCACAAATCTTCGGGTTAAACACTTCATCCCCTTCCCCTACTTCAACTTATAACTATTTTTAAGGAAGGCATTTTTGACAAAATAAATGGCTATTCTTCATCTTGCTGTCAATCTAAACCAAAAAAAAAAAAAAAAAAAAAAAAAAAAAAAAAAAAAC